CCCTCACGCGGGTGCGGCCCCCCATTGTGACACCACTCTGAGCAAAGGCTGGCTAATTCAGAGTTTTACTTGACTTCACTATTTCTTTATAGATCCCTAATTCTAAATATTAGTAGTCTATATTTTTCCTGTACTGCAGACATTTCAGTTAATGCAGCCTACTTCTAGATGTAACAAATGCGTTACTAATCATTCCTGTGGTGTCATGGGTTAAATCAAACCATTCTTTACACCGAAAATATCCTTGGCCTAACGCCTGCACATAATTATATCTTCTTCTGTTTCAAGAGTGTAACTTGTTATTGTGTTAAGGAAACAGCTGTGTTCTCGCTAGGAGTAATTCAGGATTTCATTCAGGGACTGGGAAGCTAATGTTAGTTCTGCAAGAATAACCCCCTTTGTGATAATGCTCTGTTCTGGAGACCGCTGCAGAACTTTGTTGATACAATTTAGTTGCTTGTCTAGATGAGTCAAGGCTGAAGAACACAGCAAACACAGCCACGCTGTCGCAGGAATTAAAATGCACAAATGTAGCCGAGTTTGTCCCTTTGGTAGCAACTCTTAAAACACATTTTCATGTGATGTTTTAGAAGTAAAATAACCTTTGTATCGTTACACTGTAGCATTTTAAAATAAGTTGCAATATAAATCTGTGTTTTCAGGCAGAAAAACATCCTTGCTGTAACAAATAAATCAATAAGTAATCTTCCCATGAGGCCCTATTCACATTTGGTGTGCGTGATTATTGTTAATTGCACCCCAGACATGGCGAGATGTGGGTTCCTGTCTGTGCAAAAAAACAGGCAGTCAAAAAATGTACAAAACTAGCAGCTCAAACAGATGCTCCTTTGCTGTGTTTGTCCGACATAGGGCAGCCCTTTAAAATAAATAGGCTGCCCTATGTGGACGAGCGACTAATGTGGCAAAATGCTCAAAAAGAGCGGTGTTCGTTCATTCACACATGTGCCAAGTGTGCATGGGGCTTAAAATGTGGAGCAGCATTCTAATTCTATGCACATTTGAGGTGAAAAAGCAGTGGTACTTAGGGAACTGCCACCCCATGTGACCCTCCTGGCCTTGTTAAAGGAGAACTATGGGGTTAAGGCTTTTCCCCATAGTTCTCCTTAGGGTAACGGGAGGACACAAACTAGCGTCCTCCCGTCACCCTAGGTAGTAGGGTTAGTGTTAGGTCAGTAGCACCCTGTAGCTTGCGGTATACTGAGACGCCGCAGCTGAAGCGGATCCCGACAATTGTGCCGGGATCCGCCCAGCTGCGTGGCTGACAGCTGGCTCTACCTATCTAGAGGCAGAGCCAGCTGTACACGCTCCTCCCCCGTCCGTTCCGCCAGTCAGCGCTGTTCGCTCACCTCCCGATCTACTGAGCCGATCTGTGACAGTCTCATTGTCACAGGTCGGCTAGAACTATGAGGTGAGTGAAAAGCACTCACCTCATAGTTCTCCTTTAAAAAGATGCTATAGCTAGACCACTGCATAACTTGCACAGGCAATTTATGTGCATTGTGCTCTTTTATCTGTAGTGAGGGACATTATTATGTAGCATTACTTGGTGGGAGGTGGGATTCAGACCTACATGTGTGTGTTGTAATGCACGTTCATGTTGGGCATACTCATTCTGCATGTTTTCGGGGTACTCCCATTCATTTCTAATGGGCCCCAGTGTGCAACTACTCAGTGAACAATGCACCTAACCCTCAATACACCAGAATGCATACACCAAAAATACAGGTGGGAAAAAAAGGTCAAGCATGTCTTTTTGGTGCATGGACGTGCATTGAGGATCTATACATCCCATACTTAGGCCTCTGAGACTACAGTCAAACAATTATACTTACATAGTCACCTGCAAACCAATTCTTGTCTCCCAATTCCTTCTCTATACCAGACAAGACTGTAGGACCATTTTTATCCAAGTACTTCTTCATTTCTATCTAAACAAATAAATCAGCCTAATTAAAATGACAAGTTTTATACCACAAATATTTACAATTAATCGAATCACATACTATTTTTAAATCTCCAACATACACACCAGTGTCTTCAAAGCAAGTGTGTATCATTATACATTAGTTGTCCAAAGATGATAAACTACCTCCAAGGCAGAACAGCAGAGATTAATAGTGACCATACAATGTGGTGCACCAAAATTGCTTTAATATTTGCAGCATGCACTAAAAAAAGTGCAAACGGAAGAGTTAAATTGCGGTGAAGCTATCGCGGCCACTGCTCTGGTTGACAGTAATAGTGGTGCCTTCACTCTGGTCAATCAGACAGCTAGAGAATGGAGTGCTTTAAAGTTCCAAGCATACCCCTGCCCCATTTAAAACCAACGTGCCTGGGACAGCTGCTCCTCCTCGTTTTTGTCCTAGTTGTTTTGTCATTATCAGCTGACATTTTTTGTCTCCCTGCTTGCAGTTCCAGGTTTTTTCTACCATTTTTCAGGAGCCTTAAAATATGCATATCTTGCTTTTATTTAGTCAGCTGGCAGCTGCCCCCCTCTTTATTGGTCTATCAAAGTGAAGAGTGGCTGTGAGGAGCTGGTTGGAATTGGCCTCCCAGATGAAGTAGTTTGCATCCAGGGCTGCTTATCTATACATGTAAATGCTCAGACTTGCGTATAGCAGTGGCACCTGCCAGCCTATCATTGATTTGTATGCAGTGCTGGCTGCAGCTGTCTGTAAGCACATGCCACTCCTGGGTGCAGAAATACACCCCTTCTTGGCGATATACGCCCCTCTGTGGCCATGTCCATGAGCCCTAAATAATGTTGCTAATATCTCTCAAGGAATTCCCTGTGTAGCATGTTCCCTTAATGATTGGTGGATTTTCCCCAGTAAGGAGTGAGTATGTCAGTTATAGGGGTAAGACAATATTGGATATAGTTGAATGTTTGAGTGTTCCACCCTAAAAAGGTTGAGACAAGAAGGATTTACTTTCCTTCATGCATTGTAAGAAGTCAATGATGACTGAACTGAAGTTAACTGTGATGTATGTTTGGCCTGTTGTAACCTGAAGAGATATCATGATGTCTTCAAATGAGACTTTCCATTAAAACCAGTTTATAATTTCATAAACCTGATTGTGTAAAATTAATTTTCTCAGTTTTTTCCATGAAAGGATCTGTATGAACTATTGTGAGATACTGCAAAGAAGTGGGTTAAAAGCCAAGAAGAGAAAGAGCAGAGAATGTTGAGTTCTAGGAAAAGAGCAGTAAAGGCAGGAGAACCTGAAATTGAATCAACCAGATTTAGCAACTAGTCTAAAGAAAACCATTGTTATTTACCCCCATAAAGTCCTCAGAGAAAATGGGTAAAAAGCAGTTGTTTGCAGCTGGCGAGGCACCATGTAAAAGTAGTGAGCATTTTAAGCATTGGTGAGTTCCTGTCCATGACAGAGAGAGCAGACTTGGTTGGGTGCACGGCTGAGAGTGGGACTCTGGAATGTGTTGTTCCCAACTGCTGAGAGGGGTAGGTGATGGGCATGGTGAATTGTTTATAAGGCATCTAATATTATGATCATTAATGTGCAAGAAAATTCTCTCTCTTCCAGTAGTGGACCCAACCTCCTTGGTGGACGTAAGTTTGTAAATCTAAGCAAGCTAGCATTGGGAGACCATGTTAAAAAAAAAGTGTGCATGTGTGTTTCTTTGTGAAATGTTTTTGGGTCTACCTTTAAGTGTTCTTTAAGTGTTCTGCACTCTGTCGTTTATCATTTATTGGTATTACTAGCATGCCAAGCAACCCTGTTCATCACTTACTGATCACCCTACTTATCTAATTTTCCTGGATATATATGAAGTACATATTGCAAATGTTCTGCGAATGCAGGGAAACAAAGTAATATTTGATATATGGAATATTAATAATACATGTAATTATATGATAGTGCAGTAAAAGTACCCTACTTTGTCATCGGTGTACCACGGAAAAAGTGACACAAAGTCATCAATGGTGTCTGATATGGCATCAATATGAAGGTCATCCAGCTCTGTCTTCCCTCTCAGACCTAATGATAAGCAGAAAGGAGAAGAAATTCCACAGTAGATATTAATATGTGCAGTACAGAACAGGTTTAACTTCTTCAGGCTTACAAAAAATCAGGATCTAACTTATGCTTTCTACTATATATGAAAGAGTCCATTCTAAATGTGAAATTAAACGTTATTTTAAGTAGTACCATACATGTTTTTATGCCTGGCTGTTCTTTCGGACACTGATCGAGTAGTAGCATGTAGATCTGCATAGTTTGATTGACGTCAGAGGCTTTAATTTGCATACATTTCTCATGCCATATTTTCAGAATGGGAAGTTAACAATAGCGGCCTCCATGTCTTTTACACTTTTAAGGTGCTGAAATTATACATATACACACACACACATATATATTTATATTTTGTTAGTCCAATAAGAAAGGTAGCGACGCATACTACAATACTTTGTTTTTTGTTTTTTTTACATCTTCTCTACTGGACTAATATGGCTTACCCATTTACATTACACTATAAAAAAAAATTTCTGTTTTCTCAAATCTGCCCCCAATAATTTATCAAAACTGCAAGCATATTACCTGCTTTTCTGGCCAAATATCTGCCTATAGCAAGGCTCTGGTAATATATAGTCCCATCAATTTCCAAAGCTGGGAGTTTTCCAAATGGATAAGCTATGGAAGGAAAAGAAAAAGCATAGGTCAGCAATGAAATATTACACTTTCCTTCTCTTTTATAATTATGGTTAGATACAAACAGGGTCACAATTTCCAATAGGCATGGTAGGCTTTTCTGTGCACGCTGAGTTTTAGGCTGCACTGTGTTGGTACCTGTGAGCCCTGCCATGTCACTTCTCTGGAGCGCCTCACAGTAAGTCCTCCTGGCAGCTGTATGTACTGTAAGAGGATCGTTTTTCATGTGTCTGCAAACTGCCCCCCGCCCCGGGGCTGGCGGTGGGGGGGGGGGGGGTTGAGAGAGTGTGTGTGTGTGTGTTTATAACTATAAAAGGTTTCTAGACTACCAAACACTATTTGCATATCTCGCAGCACATACAAATGCGGCACTTATGCCACATACAGGTGAAACTCCTGTAATCCTGTCCGCATTCATTTGATTTTACACAACTGAACTACAACATTGTACTTCGGAATAGTGAATGCTTCACTTTTAACAATCAAACACATATTCTCAATTAATAAATTTCCAATAGGCATACATTTTCTCCTTAACTTTATTATTACACACCCTACAACACCAAGCTCCTTAAGGATTCCGGATTCCCCACAAGGCCACCGAGGCCCGACCTAGGGGCGGCAGCGATGCCCTTGTGGGGAAGTTCCGGTCGTCGGCCGGTAAGTTGCCCTCTCTACATTTAGTCCTGCTTTGTACAGGACTAAATGTAGAGTGATGCAGCCGATTGTTCCTTTACATGTGATCTCCGCGATGTCGCCGAGATCACATGTAAAAAGTCTGCAGCCTCCCCCCTGTACTAACCTCTCTGCTCTGGTTCCGTCCTTCGCCGCCAAGTCATAGAAAAATAATGAAATAAATAAAAATTAAAAAAATAAGAAGAAATAATTAAATGAAAAAAAAAGTGATAAAAAAGTTTAAAAAAGAAAGAAACAGTCAAAAAACATTGAAACTAACCCCCCCGCCCTGCCATCTGGTTGCCATTCTCCATTGATGGGAAGGGGGCGTATTGCGGAACCTGGCCTTGGGGCGGCAGGGAGAGTAAATCCGGCCCTGGGTGCAGTTGCATGCACTGTTTCTTCTAATTGTACCAATGTAAAGCTCTCCCGATACTCCACACAGCCCTCCTGAGACCCCACACAACTCTCCTGAAACACTGCAAAGCACCCCTGAGATCCTGCACAGCTCTCCTGACACCCCGCACAGCCCTCCTGAGATCTAGGTGCAAATCTAGAACTTAAAGTAGCTATGTTGTTAATAAATGAAGAGCTCGCTATCAGTTGTCGTGGACAGTATACATAACAAAATGTACCCAGACACTGTAATTCAAAAGAACTCAAGCATTATTTGTAGATGCAAACCCAACCCCTAAAACTACATATAAGCTTTAACAGCTGGTGATACTGATATTAAGTTTGGGCACTTTGTTTTATGCAGTGACAATGCTCTGCCCCTGTCAACCATAATCATCTGCCTGTAAAAAAAAAAAAAAAAAAACCCAACAAAGTGCAACCAGCAACAACTAAGAAATATGCCGTGAAAAAACAAACGCAGCCTGTGCAGTGCATGTGGACAGGGACAGGCTGTGAAAAGAAAACCAACCGCAGCCAGCAAACATTAGGAAATGTGTCCTGTGAAAAAATACATGCAGCCTGTTATGGCTTTAGTGGATGTGGAGAGGCTAAAGGACACATGTCACTATTTATGATTTATTTCACACTGTATGTGGGAGAGATCAGAATGAGAGGAGGCAACATTTACAAGCTCAGTGGTTTTATTGCCTTTCCTTCTACTTTAAGTACCAGTCATGCTACCCCTCTGTTGTGCAAATTAATGTTTATTTCTCAATCACTTACACAGTGTGCAGGAAACAAAAGTGACTATCTAAATGTAATAATCACTCCAGAGATACTAGGGGCTAGGCTCTGTATTCCCTTTTTAGGTCAGAGCAATTCTTACACTTTTAACTATGGTCCTAGTGGTATAAATCTAGCTCCAATTGCAACACATTAGCTTAACATTGATTTTCACACCATTTGCATTGCATTTATTGCAAGTTGACACGTTTTAAATGCTGACATGAGCTGTCATGTTTTAACACCTTTGCATAGCTAAGCTTTTTTTTTTTTTCCTTCACAGCAAGGGCAAAACTACTTTAGCCTGAAGTACATTGCACTGTGTTTTACATGCTGCATGTCCTATTTTCACCGAGCACTGCATCAGTGTGAACTGGACCTATTCAAAGCAATGCTATTTTACTTGTTATCGCATTGGGCCCAATGCACGTGGTGTGAATGAGCTAAAGCAACACAACTCCTTAGAGCAAAACCAGTAGTAATTAAAATACAAATATAATTATTTCTGTTTGTTGAAGCCAAATATTAAATTGTGACAATACTATTACTAGAGCAATAAAACACAAATCAATCACATAAAACAGCAAGATTAAGAAGAGGTACAAAATCTTCCCAAGCAATTTTGAATTTGGTACACAGTATACACACACCATAAGTGACATCTCACAAACTCATTTCCACTATAGATTGTTTTATTAATACCACATATTTTTATCTTTTGGAAAAGATGTGAAAAGCTTTAATCTAATGATTTAATCATCATTTAATATCAATCGTTTAGCTCTGAACAATAATTTGGTGAAATCTAATAGGATATCTTGCCACTTACAGGACTTATGTTCGGGCCAGTCATCATATTCAATTCTGCAGTCTTCATACTCTGTATTCATATAGGCAAATAGGTAGCGAAGTAACTCTGCTCTTCCTCTGAAATTGAAGTAGGTCAGCTTGTAATGTGGCATGATTTATTCCTGCAAAAGAGAGGAATATATTAAATATATAATTCCCATACCTAGGTGAAAATGTGTGTTAGAATTGTTCTCGATGCTGGCTATTTGGGCCTAAAGCATAATTGTCACCAAAGATTTTTTTTTCTAACTAATGCTAATGCTAAATGCTAAAGTGTAAAAAGGAGATTTGTCCTCTTTATTTTATGCTGGTTAGCAGAACTGAATGTAAAATATATGGAAAACCCTGCATTTCGAGTTGTCCCCTAAACAACAATAAGGGGCAATATTCCAGTGGAATACTGGTTCTAGTGACAACTTTCTAAGGTGGATTTACCCAATTTTCCTCTCACTTCCTGTTGTGTCTACAAAACAAGAAGTGAAGAGAAATCTCTTGAATGGGAAAGACGTAGCAAAGAGAAACCTCCTTATACTCCATTCAAAATAAAAATAAAAATGTTAGCTTTAGAAACTCTTTAAAGAGATTCTCTTAGTTTGGTGTATATATATATATATATTATACACACTCACACAGCTCTAGCCTTTGTGGGGCCTTAGGCCTTCCACTTGCACCCATGCTGAAAAAAAAATGCATATACAGTAATTAAAAATGAGCTGTGATGGTAGAGAGAGGCGGATATGGCACAGGGCAGTGCAAGGATTTCTACCTACACAGGCCCCACCTCCCCAATGCCCTCAGGAGACTGCCTATGCAGCCTTATGCTAGCACTGACCCTGGCCCCGTGTCACCCAGGAGGTGAGCTGAATTAGACCAGGGGTCAGCAAGCTTTTACACACCAAGTGCCATTTTTTGCAACCATCAGACAACCGAGTGCCAATGAGCAAAAGTGCACCATAGTGTTAGTTACATTTCAATGATTACTCTCATAGTTGTAGTGCTTATAGTAAGTTCAACTCACTAATTAGTTTAATGTGTTTACCTCACATTTAGTAGCACAGCTATAAGTGAAAAAAAATGAATAACTGGTGCACATATAAAACATGTTCATATTTACATGTGCTAAAAATTAAACTGGACTCACAGACCAGAACCAACACAAGGCAGAGCTCAGACCAGTACCGAACGCATGGCAGACCTCAGACTAGAACCAAACGCATAGCAGACCTCAGACCAGAACCAAACACACGGCAGGCCTCAGACCGGAACCAACGCCACGGCAGACCTCAGACCAGAACCAACGCCACGGCAGACCAGAACCAATGCCACGGCAGACCTCAGACCAGAACCAACACCACGGCAGAACTCAGACCAGAACCAACGCCACAGCAGAACTCAGACCAGAACCAACACCACGGCAGACCTCAGACCAGAACCAACGCCATGGCAGACCTCAGACCAGAACCAACGCCACGGCAGACCTCAGATCTGAACCAACGCCACGGCAGACCTCAGACCAGAACCAATGCCAAGGCAGACCAGAACCAACGCATGGCAGACCTCACACCAAAACCAACGCACGGCAGACCTCAAACCAGAACCAACACACAGCAGACCTCAGACCAGAACCAACGCACGGCAGACCCAGACCAGAACCAACACACGGCAGATCTCAGACCAGAACCAACGCACGGCCGACCTCAGACCAGACCCAATGCATAGCAGAGAGCAGACCAGAACCAACGCACGGCCAACCTCAGAGCAGAACCAAATGCATGGCAGACCTCAGACCAGAACCAAATGCACGGCAGACCTCACACCAGAACGCATGGCATACCTCACACCAGAACCAAACTCATGGCATACCTCAGACGCTCATCTAGTGTTATAAAACAATGTATACTGGTCAGCTCACCATTACATAAAGAAAAGGCAGTATCCAGAGTGTACTATTCCAGCAGTATATGTGCAGCAGTCCTGTAGAACGTTGCCATGGAAACCAGGAGGCTTGTAGAACACTGGCAAGTTCGCTCTGTATGTTCAGATGGCGAGGGGTGGGCGGGAACCTGGCTGGATGGCAAGCCGAAATCTGATTGATTGTTGTTGACAGCTGCTAGCTTCTCTTTGTCCCGGGTCTCTCCCCCTGCTCTTACTGACACATGTAAAGCCAGGCTGGGCTATAGATGAAGCAGAGTCCCAGCCGGGGGATGGGAGTACTGAAGTCCCAGCAGAGGAGCGTTCTGCTCCTATGGACAAAGATGCAGTTTTTGCCCTGCTGCCACCTGCTTTAAGTTAGGCAAGTTAGGTGGCCGCGAGGCCCCCGTGAGCGTGAGGCCTTAGGCGACCACCTAACTTGCCCAATTAGAGAGCCGCCTCTGTGTGTGTGTGTGTATATATATATATAAAAAAAAATGCTAGAAGGATAAACTGATCCGAAAAGCGGCATGAAGAGTTGAGTTCAGCAGCATGTAGATGAAGTCTTAATTGAAGCAAAGGAGATCTTTAGAAAAAAAATAAAATAACTAATTAAATTGGCTAAACTTCTCTCAGTAGAGAAAACATGTCCAGCCTCCTAAGACACTAGCAAGAAACTGAAGCATGGCAGGAGTGGGAGGGCTTATATCTGGCAGGCCAACAGCGTTTCTGTTTTCCAGTGTCTATTCCCTATTGTAGGTGACAGTATAACCCAATGGTCTCAGAATAGTGAACGGGGGGAAAAAGAGTGTTTTAAAAAAAAAATTGGCCTCATTCATCAGTATGTGTGTAGCAAGAATTGACTATGTGTCCTCATGGCAATCAACTAGCTTCTATCTGGAATGTTCCAGTGCACATTTAAAAATTGTTACTAAGAGCAAATATACATTTCCATTGTGATTGCCAAAGCAGTTAGGTTATTCTTTCCTCTTTTGACCTGTGATAGAACAACAAAACATCTGATTCTTTGCCATGAACAACTTTAACACAATTCCTCTATTTATTATTGCACAGCCCAGGAGACCCAGGAGAAGCAAGCATCTGATTAATGAGCAACGAAGAAAACTGAAAGCCACAGATAACATTTTTGGCACATGTTTCTCACAGGTGAAGAGAGGTAAAGTTCAAATTCCCTCTTTTATAATATAATGTGAACTAAGGTGATTGGTGAAACTATGGCAGGATCCATGATAAAGAGCAAGTTTTCTTTGTTTAATCCAGTATTTCCTAAATGTTTCCTTAAGGATCACTAATGAAGTATAGCTTTCAAACCTAGGAGCCCAGGATTTATCAAATGTTAGCTAGAAACATTGTAAAAAAATCATATAATGTTTCTGACATGCAAACCGCAAATATTATTTTAATTATTTATGAACAATAACTAAAAACTCAAAATATGATAGTATTGTCAATTCCTCAACAAGGATTCACCACTAAGAACATTTTAGTATGTATGTATTCTATGTATTAAAATGTATGAATATATGTAAATAATGTAGATTTAAATCAAAACAAACAGTTCCTACTGAATCCTGCATAACAAACTGAGGCTTTTTTTTTTCTCTGGTGGCATCCCCTTGGGGAAGGGGGAGGGGGCAGCAAAAGACAAAATTTACTCTTTACGGTTCCTCAGCTGCTTCTTGTTTTTATTGAAATAAACTATTCTAGAGATGCAAAATCTGTATGCTGGCACTGTTAACCAGTGCCTACAGCTGGCAGCCAAGACCACAAAAGATCTAGGCTTTGAGCCAGGGGCCTGATTAAATTCTTCAGCGTGCAGGTTATGTACAATTATATTGTTGCTGCTGGTTATGTGTTTAGTTAAAGCACTGAGATCTTGAGGAATGCCGAGTAAGGCTGGGCACACACTTTACAACCATCGCAAGACTTTTGTCTTGCGATGGTTGTAAGGTAATTAAAAAAACGTACGATCTGCCTATCTTGGACAGGCAGATTGTACTTGCGATGATCACAAGTCCGCCCCGCTGAGGGGCGTGCTTCCGATGACCGCAATGCCGAACGTGCAGTGTGCGCTTGCGCACACCGGCCCGTCCAGCTTTTATCTTAGGGAAGGGAAGCAGCATAAACACCACCGAATCACCAATGTAAGCAGAAACTACATACTTCTGTTGTCTGCCAGATCCCTCCAAATTTGGCCCAATGTCCTCTCCAAGTTTGGAAGCCAGCCAAACAACAGACTCACCTCTACTCTGTTTGCCCCTGCACAACCTCTTATATCTCTTGGGAATTTTGGGGGTGAGATCTTTGCTGCTGGACCATGACAAGTAGATCCTACTGTCAATAGGGAATTTGTTTATATATCATATTATGTGGCATTGAACAGGAGAAGAGGAAACACCCCAAGATGAGTAAAATCAATAAACCTAACTATGGCTGGGACATCCTGCCACTGTGGTCCTCAATAGGAGGCATTTGAGAAAACACGGCTCATGAGCATTCATCAGCATCAGACATGATTTCTTGGTGCATTGACCTTTTAATGCATATAAGAAAAAAAAAAAAAAAAACAACCTTCATGACAAATGTAAACTCAGGCACCCGAAACCTTACATGATGAACATTACCTTTATTTCAGTACAATACACAATACTGAATAGCTTGTATATTTTGTCGTATATAACAACTGTAATAGTCAAAGGAGAACTACTGTATATTCATCCATTGAAATCTGGTGCTGCACAATATTGTTTTAGAACAAATAACTAGAGGTCTGAGTATTAATATGAACAGCTTCTACTGTTTATTATTTTTGAGCTGTCAGTCACTAATATGGTATCACAAGAAGTTCCTTGTTACTTAAAATTCCCTAGAATACCCATATTATTAACACACTTCAAGTCTATACCAATAGAAGTACACACACTTGGGATGTGTATTTAACATGATTTGTCATGGCTCACAGGCTCAAGTAGGGAGGAACATTAACACCCAAGTAAATAACATAACAATAGGCTTTGTTAGCAAGAACACAGGACTTGCCTTTGTGTTCCTGGTGAAGAACAACATTCGTTCATTTTATATGTGGGAAATATTGGTTTCCTACTCATGTTAACACTACCTCAAGGACATATAGGAACAACAATAATTCAAAGAAACTCTTAATTTTTTTTTATTGATATTACCTAGTAAG